TTAAGGTTTTGGATTTAGGATTTAGAAACCCTTTCCTCTAAGGAATACCATGCTCAAGGTCAGTGGCAGAGATCATCTCATTACGTCGCACAGCTCGGCAGCCCAAAATACAGATCAGAGTCAATAGGAGGTTGCTTGCAAGCCCCTATTTACAGCACATTACCGGTATACACATGGGTCGAGGGTTTAGAGTCTTCAGGGGCCCTAGACAGATTTAATTCTTATAGGGTAGAAAGGTCATATAGGGCTGTGGAACCCTAAACCCTAAACCCTAAACCCCCCCATGAGTATCCTGAACCTCCCTGTCAAAGGGACCAGGTAAGGACAGCCAGGCTGCCTTCGAGCTTTCTCGAAGCCAAGAAAGGAAAAATGGAAGCCAAAAACAATGAAAAAACAAAATGTAAACCACCATAATGAAAAACAAAACGGAATATGTAGGAGCGTCCATGCTTCTTTCTCTTCACAAAATAAAGAGACCCTAAACCCCTAAACCCTAAACCCCTAAACCTAAATGCCTAAACTGTGATACCGCTCAGGCTTCCGCCCTGCACCATCTCCGCCGTGCGAGACCTGGCTTTACCCCCCCCCCTCCACTCGCCCCAGTATTCTGGGTTGCTGTTCAGGAACATAAATCAATTTACCGTAATATGGGCATTTAGTAAATAATAGGACTTCTGTATCATAGTAGCTTCATTTGGTAGTCTCCCAAAATAGGGGGACCCGAATATAGACCCCAAAATACTATAGTTCTTAATATGGGGACCCCCAAAAAAGGTACCCCTAATTTTGGGAAACCCCATTTAAGTTCCTTAACAGTTCCCCAGCATGAAGATTCCCTTTTCAGTGCCCCTCACATTGTTGTTTGGCACCTGCAAGTTGCGCACAAAGATGGGGCGAATGGTCAGCGCATGGAGCTCCAGAGCTCTAATGTTGCGGGGATGTGAAACGGTTCTCTGCCATGGGTCCCAAAAAAACTCTAAGCACTGAGCCCTAAGCCCTAAACCCTGAACCCTAAAACAAGCCCTAAGCCCCAAGCTCTAAACACTAAACCCTAAACCCTAAGCCCTAAACCCCAAGCCCTAAGCCCTAAATCCTGAGCCTTAAACCTACGTACAAAGTCTCTGCACCACCATATCTCTGCAAGGCAGCTGGGCTCCCTGCTCACAAACAACAATCTCGGACCGGATCTCCTTCACCACCTGCCCCAGAAACGGGACATGGGGGTTTCCCAAACTAAGGGGTCCCGTTGTAGGGTCCCTATGAGAAGGATTATAGTATTTTAGGATCTATATTGGGGTCCCATTATTTTTAAGTAGGTGGATTACATAGGGTTCTATAGGGGAGAATAGGATAACATGGAGTTGTACACGGGGGAATAAGTGAATATAATCCCCCTCAAGTAGATAGAATATGGCTTTGGGTATATTATAACAGGATCCCCATCTACCCGACATTCTATCTACTTAAGGGCAACTATACATCATATAGGGCTTCTATGCAGATTATAGGACCTTCTTCCCTACTAGGAACCAGTACGTGAAGCAAGACTCGAGGGGACCTTCTCTACGTGCGTTTGATGCTCCTTGTCCTTTGTCTCCAGGTACTTCCACAGCTCAGCCTTGGCAGAGTCCGGACTTCCCTTGGTTGAGTTCTTGTAGGGGTTGAGTTAGGACTTCCATGGGGTTTAGGGTTTAGGGTTTAAAGTTTAAACCCGAAACCCTGAGCCACTTAGGGATTCCGTCGGGCTCAAAAGGGGCGAGAAACTAAATGTTATCCTTGATCATGCCCTTCTGGTGTTTAAGGGAGACTGGGGGAATGAACATATATATATATATATACATATATATATATGTATAATTAGGGTTTAGGGTTTAAGGGGGGATTATATAGGGATTCTTCTAGTTATCCAACCTCCCTCTCTCTCTTAAGCACCAGTAAGTTGCAAGTAGGAACCGAATTAATTATCATATATATCCTAAACCCTAAACCCTCAACCCTAAACCCTCAACCCTCAACCCTAAACCCTAAACCCTAAACCTCATCGACAACTGCCCCTGAGTGCGAGGCCACGTCAGCCGCATGGCCTTTGGCTTCTGCATTGAACTTAAAGGTAAAGGGGACAGCTTGGGGTTTGGGTTTAGGGTTTAGGGTTTAGGGTATATATAGTAATTCATACGGTTCCAGTGTAACAGTTTAGTCTAAGTTCCCTGACAAGGGGGACAGCTTAAGGATTGCATTGCGCAGGCAAGTTGGGCAGCGGAGTGGACTCTCACTTACCAACATTCTGGTCCCAGGGTCCTTGAACAATTACAGTATAGGCCTACATATCACATCCCCACACCCCAAGCCCTAAACCCTAAACCCCAAACCCCAAAACCTAGACGCTAAAGCCCAAACCTACCCTAAACCCCAAACCCCAAACCCCAAACCCCCAAGCCCTTCACAAAAGAGAAGTGCCTGGGCCCTGGCGGTTGTCACATGTGCCAAGCTTTTCTAGCTCTTTGGCCAGAGACGCCAACTCCTAAACAGTTTAGGGTTTAGGGTATTAGAGTATTAGGGGGTTTAGCATATTAGGGTATTAGAGGGTTTAGGGGCTTAGGGGTTTAGGGTCTAGGGTTTAGGGTATTAGGGTTTAGGGCTTAGGGGTTAGGGGTTGAGGGGTTTAGGGTTTAGGGCTTACGTTTCAGGGTTTAAGGGGCTTAGGGTTTAGGGTGTAGGGGTTATACCAAGGTATATATGGGGGATATGTTGGGATGATCGAAGAGAAAATGGAAACTACTCTTTAGGATTATTATCAACAACAGGATCTGCTGCAACATGTTTAGGATTTGGGGTTTAGGATGCATTTAGGGTTTTGGTTCGGGGTTTAGGGTTTGCGGGGTTTCGGGTTTAGGGCTAGGGTTCCAGGGTTTGGGATTTAGGGTTTAGGGTTTAGGGTGCCAGGGTTTGGGATTTAGGGTTAGGAAGGAGCTTCACCATTGTCAGGGTTTCGTGGAAAGGTGGGCAATGAGCGACTCCCATCATCATACCCAGGGGTACCTAGGGGGGGGGTTAGGGTGGGGCGGGTGTACTGCCTCTGAAGCATCTCACCAGTAATTCAAGGCGCAAGCGGCCCTGCATTCTCGACCTAAACCACCCTAAACCCTATTAGCCTACACCCCTCTGCGCACTAGCGACGTAAGACTGCCCAGGACGCGGACTTTGGTTGCGCGATCCGTGAAAGTCAACCTTTCGTAGTCTGCCTGCCGCAGCGCGCCTCAGGCTACAAGGGGCACACGCCCAAAGCAGAAAAAATGACAAGAATCTGGGAATCATATGAGCAATAGTCTAAACTCCTCAAAGGGGGGTATATAGGGGATTATACAGGGGCTACTATAGGGCTTATTAAGGGGGATACTAGGAGTTTAGACAATGGCTCATATAGCGTATAAGTTTGTTTGTGGCATAACATAGTATGCAGGATGAACATGGCAATTCCTAGGTCCGCAGAGCGTGAGGTATCAGCTTTCCTGTCGCGGCGCAGAGTTTTGGGAGATGCGCCAAACTGGGCCCTGCCATAATAAATAGCTCTGAAAGAACAGGGTCTTTCGCTTCAGCACGCCCAGCACATGACCCGACGCCCTGCAAAGAAGGACCCCACCTCTCCAAAGACAGCAACTCTCTAGCCACAACCGGTTTCTGCCTTCCAAATTCTCGATTCGTCGAGCATAGGCCTTCCAGAAAGTGGGAAACACTGACTCACTCGTCACCGGTGGGCACAGTCGCCTGTTTTCAGTACAGTAGCTTATTGAGAGATATCATCAGTCCCTTTGGGTTTCTTGCAACTGCCATCATCATGACGAAAATTGTCTATCGATCCGCCGGCCACTTTGTGACGAGGTCAGTTTGCCAAGCACCTGAAGAGCTAACTGTCCACAAATTCCCTAAAGCCCTAGACCCTAAACCCTAAATCCTAATCCCTAAACCCCTTAAACCCAAAACCCCTTAAACCCTTAAACCCTATACCCTGCACCCTAGTCTCTGAAGGCCACAGAGCCTCTATGAAGTCAGCGAGGTTAGCCTTGTCCTGCATTGGAGGCCAAGCTGCAAACTACTGGGTTTTTTGGGTTTTGGAGTTTAGGGTTTAGAGTTTAGAGTTTAGGGGTTAGAGTTCAGGGTTTGGGGTTTAAGGGTTAAGGGTTCGGGGTTTAGGGCTCAGGGTTTACGGAACTACTTGCTGATGTACACACTTGTCGAAACTATTGCTGCGAAAAATTGGAAAGCCTTTTTGTCTAAAAGGCGATTCTTATGGGGCTAGGCAGTATGGTCCATAATGAGTTTAGAGGGACTACTAGACGAAATTGTTTTTACGTCAGGCATGAGTACAGAAAGGAGAGGGTGCACCAGAGATCGCAGCAGTCATTTAATCATTGTCGCAGTCCCTTCCCACAGTGGCCTGGAAGAGGATTA